CACTGAAAACTTGGGAGGCTTTGTATGCTATTGTGAAACACACAGAGGGCCAGTGAAGTTCATTAAGCAAAAGAACAAGGTTTTGCTTTCAGGCTTACAAAGCACGCAGCTATGTTTTTGAGCCAATTTTTGCCATCTAGAGGTGGGTACTTAAAGCCTGCATAATCTAAGCTGGAGGGGATAGAGGCTTACCAATACCTAGCCAGGCAAACTCCCATCCCTGAAGGCTTTGCAGTCTGATCCAGACAGGAACAAACAATTAAGAACTTGGTTTCAAAGCAGGAAGGGGACGCAGCAATGGGGAGTGCTAAGCAGATGAAAAAACAATGTGATTTTTATAAGGGATTCAGAGGAGATGAAGTAGATTAGACTGCTTCTCCTGTGCACTGAAAATTTCAAATATGTTGGGAATTAGAAAAGCCACATAAACATATACTATGAAACATCAACAACTGCCAAGCTGCAGTGCTTGGCAGCTTCCAGCATGGACTATATAGCAATTAACCTTTAAGACTGTGATCATTTAGTGCTTTTCTTCTTTAGTGCACTACATTTTGCAGAAACCTACACAGATCATACCATCAGAGGACAGCTGCAAATCATCTTATAAAGGTCAGAGGCCAGTCTAAAAGCACCTCAGCAAGATAGTAACAATTATCTACAGTAAATGGATAGCTGTGATTTCTTTTTTCCCACTCTCTTTCACAGGTTTACAACAAAGAATGTTACATTCAATTATGCTTATGGACCTTCCAGATAATAAAAGACCAAAATTAGATATTTAAGACATGGCACAATATCCTTTCCATACACACAGAAAATACTCATCCACTAGGTCTATAGGCTTAGTGGCAGAGAAAAAGAGTGGCAGAGACAGAAGCAGGGAATTAGCTATCCTATGATTTTCACTGAAAAGATGTTTTGTAACTATTTCCCAAGACAACGAACTATTTCTGTTTTAATATACTCAATAATAAGAACTTATACTCATTTTGCTGGTATAAATCTGAAGCAATGTCCTATCAATGGTATTGGGTCAGCAGGCAGCATCTCTCCTTAGTTATGAGTGAGTAACTCCACTGGAACAAATGAGTTAATATTAACTAATTGGCAACAGAAAGATGGTTCTCTTCCAAATAACTCCAAACAAAGAGTGATAAAAATCAACAAGATTTAATACTGTCCACAACTTCAATTATGTTCTAATGCTCCAAAAGTAAGTGAAAGGCATTTACACGTCAACCCCCATAAATATTTACAGTTATGACTGAAGCAGGCTTGACTCTTCACATCACCCCATTAAATCAACGGCATTGAATAGACTGTTATACTACAAACAGCATACAAACAGGCTGAAGTTAACAAAATGCAAACTAAGGATGGATCCCAACCCAAAGTCTTCTAGTCTGTAGCCTAGGGTTACATTAATTTTGAACCCCTGTTGAGGTCTGTGCTTTGCGAATCTCCTGCATTTGCATTCACAACAAGGCGCGACTCAGCATCCAACTCCATATACCAAGTTTTCCTCTCCTGTGTCCCTGGGAAGAGCTGTGCTGCTTTGCTGATCCTAAACCTTGCCTTCAGCAACAGAAAGCAGAAGAGTTCTACCCATGGCAAAGATTCAATTGTCTAAAGACTTCAGCTCGGACTTAGAAAAACAGCCAATTATCCAGGCATCCCAAGATACCCAGCTATGCCAACACTGCTTTGATACTTCCAGTTACATAATCTGGAATAAAACCACAGACCCTTTTGTCTCAGACTGAACCTTTAACTAGATATCGGTACTCAAACAGAGGAGGGGTGGTGGTACTTGCTAGGTGGTGAATACATTGGTTATAATTTATTATTTGATCCCTCCTGGTCATAATGACCAGCAGCAATATTGGAATTCGGGATGACAAACGAACCTTCTTTTTGTTTTCCAAAGAACTGCCTCTTAGTAAAATGACTTCTTGGAGGTGGTACCCAAGATTAACAGTTCTGTACTGTTCTCCTCTTCAAACTCTTTCCTTTTTCCTTGATCACTTAAACGGATTCTCCATAGGCCATATGTAACGGAAAATGGGAGCAATAACAGGGAAATTAGTAGTCCCCAAGGTAAGTAAGAGTGAAACAGATATAGCTCATTCAAAACAGTCATCTTCTGCTGACTTATGCACCCTGTTGTGTGCCAAAGGATCTCAAACCATGAATCAGGATTACTCCTGTCTTCTAGTACAAGGCAGAAGCAGCCCAGAAACATAACAAACCCTGGAGTGAAAACCTATCAGAGCATTACTAGCACATCGATTAAGACCTTCCTAACCAAATTACATAGCAGCTTTCCTCAAAGTAGTTAACACAGTACAGAGGAAGATTTTATTTTATGTAGCCTAAGGACGGTACACCACTGCCCTTAATATTGCTCTGATTTAGTGAAAAAGAAAACTGTAGAACAGACCACTGAGATCTTCCCTTGCCTTTCCTTCTTCAGCTATTTTTTGAAAGTGCCCTTCAATCACAAACTGGTGAATCTTCACTTAATCTGCTGCTCAGTGGGATCAAGCCAAAGGGCAGCTCCCCCACCCCTCCTGGAGAGAGCAGTGCTGCAAAGTCAGCACTGAGAACAAGCTGGAGGGCCACCACAGGATGGGAATTTGTGACCTTCTGGCCCAGGGCTATGAGTTTGACCAACTGAGCCATGCCCAAACGGACTCTCAGTTAATTTTTCACAGACTTAACTGAATCAGCAAGCCTCCACTACAGGTAAAAATACCTAAAGCATATTCTCAAGTATATCTTTAGCCTAGCTCATGTAGATACCCAAGTGCAGGTTGGGAAACCTTTCTTAACTTCATGAATGCTGATATTCCCAAATGACTGACAGACATGATGCCTTTCATGGGCTGCATCATGGTTCTGAGAGCCTCATTTACACGGGGATCACAGGGATCAGAAAAAACACATACACAGAATGAAAAATCCAGCACTAGTGCCACCACTTAATACAGATGCCCACGCAACTGTTTAGCAACAGATAGTAAAGTAGGAATACACCTGCAACATCCTGCTATAACAACTGCCACCCAAAGGTCTCATTGCAGCAGTTGCAAATATGATTTTTTAAATCATAAAGATGCTATGCAAAAGCATGCCTTTGATTTACAATGGTATGTACAGCACAGCAGCTACTTGCTGATAGCAATACAGCTCAGAATTATTCTTCTATAAAGAAGCGCCAGAACTCACATCTCTTCATTCCTGGCTTGAGCTTTGCTTCCTCTGTAGTAAAGACTTAACTCTTCTCTGCTTTTCCTCAGGAGGCACCTCATGCAAATCCTGAAGAACCTTTCCATACCACAAGCTTGAAGAACACAGTGTGGGGAGTACAGAAGCATGAAGAGTCATGTTTTCAACGTTCTGCTTGATTTCTATAAAACCCACCAGTCCCACAAGGACAGTGAGTTTTGAGGGGCATTAAAAACAATGCCAGAGACAATCTGGAAAGGTCCTGCTAGAAATGGCAGTTTTGGAGGACTCTCAGAAAAAAAATACAAAGGGCACTGAGTCAAGGTGAGCTGAGAAGTATGCAACCAGGAAAACTTGCCAATAAAAGGCACTCCCTCAGAACACAATGTTTTGTCTGACTGCTTTATCAGGAAATCAATTTACAACTGCTTCTTATTACTCTGAACTGAAAATGACAGGAGCGCAAAGGCTCTAAATCAAGGAGAGGAAGGTAGGCAGAGTACAGCAGTCCTCATTCACTAAAGGATTAAACATTTTCTACTTTTACATTTTAGAGAAATCCACCCTGTTAGTTTCTT